CCCTGTCACTTCTGCCACCACATATTGGACAAAGTATGTTTCAGCTGGTGCTGGCTATCAGCAGTCATGCAATGGAGATGATGAGAGGATCCCAGGGATGGTGGGAGGAATGTTGACAACATCTACTACTCCATCCTTCACAGCACGATCAGCTCTAGTAACGTTCTCTTCAAAAAGAGAGCCAAGTTCCAAACATTCCACATATGCATAACTACCATTCCAGATGAAACCTCCAGAGAGTCCCAGAGAAAAAAATTAAACCATGTGAGAAAACAACTCTTATTCTATTGTATTCATTGTTACATGTCGTGGGATCTTAGAGAATGTATCTTAAAACTGCCGTAATAGGAAGTAAGGGTCTAACAGAAGAAAGGAAAGAAGGAAGGATGATCACAAAGAATGAAACAACATCTGAGCTTTCCTAGGCAGCATATTACTATCAATCATCTCAACAAACCATCTTTCAAATCTAGATTCCTACTTTGAAATTGAAAACCACATCTCTCTTCCTATGAAAAGTAGGATGGCAGAATCGGTGTCAACCAGCCAGGTCATAGTCTGAGTCAGTCTCAGTCTCTTCTTTTGAAAAGTGGGGTGAATGAGAGAAAATATCTCAAAGAAATGTTTTTCAAGATGATATAAAGTCATACATGGGAAGAAACAAGCACAGTCCTGCTATGGTAAGCACTATGTTATGACTATTGTATGATTTTCATCCCATTTCCTCCGGGGAAAACAAGCACACAGCCAAATGAGGGTGAAGAGCACCAACATTCAGGAGGATAAATTTGGAGGCAACCATGTCAGCACATGATATGATAAGTGCTTTACATCTAAAGTTAGAAATTGTAAGGGTGGCTGCAAAAAAGCTGACCAAACATGGAATTTTATAGGCGGCATATATGAAAGAAATGTCAAAAGAGAATTACCAAGGAAGTTGCTGAGGAGAAATGTAACACAAAAACAAAAGTGAAGTCACAGGTGCGTTGGAAATAGAAGAAATGAGCATGTCTTTTAGGGGAGAAGAAGAACTGAGAGATTTAAATTTGCAACATCCTGCCTTTGGGGCCCACAGTGTCCACTTAGTTCTGAGGCCCATGGCCTATCACGGACAAGGGGCTCCTCGGTTGAGGAGCGTGGTTCTTGTGACATACAGTGGACACCTGATAAATGTGATCTTCTAGTCTTAACCTCTGTCTTGTGTGACTCCCATTAATCAATATTCCCCTTAAACAGGGGTAGCCATCGAAGATGAAACTCTGGTCATTGCAAACACAACAGGTCTTTTACCTCTTTTGGCCTCCATGCAGCACTTTTAATTAATGACAATCCCTGTGGCTCCCTTTCAGAGACTGCCTGTCAGGTGGATTCTTCCAAGAAGAGGGGAAAGCATATGAACTACATAGAAAAGAGGAGGAAACAAGATCACAAAACCATTAAAATAAATTACAAATCACGTATGAGAGTGTAGGCTCACGTGTTCATGCTTGCAAGTGAGGATGTGTTGCACTAAAAAAATCTCTGGAATTAATTGCAAAACAAGATTGATAGATTGGATTTAAAATATTCAAAGCTTCTATAAATCAAATTTGTAAAATTTGAAAGGCAAATGTAAGGTTTGAAAGTAAATGTTGGCATCCTTTATGATAGAAGTTTCAGTGTTATTAATGCCTAGAGATTGCTAATTCATTAAAGAGGCAAAAGAATTGACCAATTTGCGCTGAGGAGGTGGTTGGAAGAGGCCTCTCTGAAATACGAATATTGAGCCATGAGAAGAAGAATGAGTAATTGTTAATAGGAGGAAATAGGGAAAGGGCAAAAATCAAAAGTAATTACATTATTTGATGTAATGTATGATACTTGATGTTGTGGACACTAAAGTGAAACAGTGACAACAATCAAACAGAACTAGTAAGTCCTATCAGTTAAGTTGAATCTGCTGCAAAAATAGTTATGGAATATCGTAGAAAAAATCCAATCATACTAGGAATAAAACAGACAACACATGGTGCATAATGAATCTCCAGTGCATAGTTAGTAATTGATCAGGCACAGGAAATTGAATAGCAGCCTACAATTGTAGGAAAGAGCAGAGACGAGGAGATTCTCTGGGAAAATACTCTTATTGGGAAAAGGCTCTAGATTCCAAGGAAAGAAGGAAACAGCAAGAGCTGGAAAAGACTGGTTTCAGTAGAAACTAAAGTACCTTCAAAGTACAGGGATTTCACTATATAGATGAAATAAATACCTGACTGTCCCAGTCTCATTATTCTAGAGGTAAAGCCCATTACCCACTTTCTTTACTGACAGATCAGAGTGTACAGAGAGGATATTGGTTATTTGGGAAACTGTATTGTAAAATGGATGTATTACACAAATTCTTCCATTTACTTGAAGAGTGCAGTCTTAGTTTGGACTGCTGTAACAAAACAGCATAAACTGGGGGGCTTATAACAGAAATGTACTTCTCATGGTTCTGGAGGCTGGAAGTCTGAGATCAGGGTGCCAGAATGATCAAGTTCTGGTGAAGACTCTCTTCCAAGTTATAGACTCTCTTATGGGTTACAGACTGTCCACTTCTCATTTTATTCTCACAGGGCAGAAAGCAGAGAGAAAAGACAAGCTCTCTCATGACTCTCAGAAAAGAATGAACCCAATAATAAGGTCTCCATCCTTGTGACTTCATCTAATCTTAATTACCTCCTGAAAGCCCTACCTCCTGATACAATCACATTGCAGGATAGGGTTTTGACATGAATGTTAGGGGGACACAAATACTCAGACCATAACACATACTAATGGGGAAATGAGTGCTTCCATCTAGGATGTGAGGGGCTGCTATAAAGATCACTGCTACATTTATTTCCAGAGTGAACTACAATATAAAATAAATTCTATAAGGCACTCACAGAACAGATTCATTTTTCTTCCCCAAAGCAGCTCTTGCCATCAGTGGATCCACTGGAAATTTACTCTTGCTCAAGGAAATCCATCCTCTCATTAAAAAAAAAAAACTTATGAGCTCTCCTGCACCGTGGCCTTGGTCTCCTAGTTCTCCTGCATCTACTCGGCCCTCATCCTGCACAACGATGAGGTGATGGTCATGGATGATAAGATCAAAGCCCTCATTAAAGCAGCTGATGTAAATGTTGAACCTTTCTGCCCAGGCTTGTTTGCAAAGGCTCTGGCCAATGTCAACATCAGGAGCCTCACCTGCAACATAGGGACTGGTGGGCTTGCCTGAGCAGCTGGTGCTGCACCAGCAGGAGGTCCTCCTGCCTCCACCACTGCTGCCCCAGCTGAGGAGAAGAAAGTGGAAGCAAAGAAAGAAGAATCCGAGGAGTCTGATGATGACGTGGGCTTTGGTCTTTTTGACTAAACCTCTATAGTAGCACATTCAATAAAAAGCTGAGCTCTTAAAAAAAAACAAACTTATGAAGTTCCATGAATGACACAAAGGACTTTCCTAGCTATAAGGTTCTATAACCTGTTAGTCCTGGGGAGAGGGTCTAGCTCACTGGTAGAGTGTGTGCTTAGCATGCATAAGTTCCTGGCTTCAATCCCCAGCACCTCCATTAAAAAATAAATTTTAAAAGTTTAAAAAACCCTGTTAATCCAAACTTACTTCCAAAACGTGAAACAAATTTGGTTTCATTCATTTAACAAATATTTGAGTGCCTGCACTGTATTATAGACTTGCTATACACAGTCAGACCAAAGTTGGCCAAATACCAATCTTGGTTTCCAGGGAGCACAGAGTCTAGATTTTTAGTAAACAGTAGCAAAGAGAGTAAATTAGTGAAGAACAGGACTAGAGGAAGTCTAAATAAGAGGTTTCAGATAGTTTCTTATCAATACAAGCAAAGGTATGTAGGCAAATGAGTGAATTTTATTTCCTTCCTGAGAATTGTATACCTTTTTTTCTTCCTAGACTTCATCTAGGAAAGTAAACCCAAATTTTGAATGACGTATGTTAATATTTGAAGACACAGCTTTCTGTGAGCACCATGTCAGTCCTTTCTATAATTGGCAGTGTCCCAGTTTTATTTCAATTGAGGTATGATACAGTAATATGCATGGATCTTAAACACATGAAGAACTTTTCTGATGTATTACACTGATGCAGCTACTTACCTAGTAGATCAAGATACAAGACATGTCCATCACCCAGAATGTGTCTTCATGTCCCTTCCCAGTCAATACCTCCCCTCACCAAGGTACCACTATTCTGACTCTTATCTTCATCAGTGGTTTTGCCTGCTCTTAAATTTCATTTAAATGGAATCATATAATATATATATTTTCATGTCACTCAGAATTATGTCTTTGAGATTTGTCTCTGTTGTCATACGTAGTGTATAGCAGTAATCTGTTCTTTTTATACTGGCATGGAGCTTTCTGTATTTTGGTATACCATAGTTTATTTATCCATTCTACCAGCAATGGGCATTTGAATTATTTCAGTTTGGTGCTGTCATGAAAACTACTGCTGTAAACCTTTTAAGCATTCATTTCTGTCAAGTATATACCTAAGAGTGGGAGAACTATGCTGTAGGACAGGAGTATGTTTAGATTTAGTAGATGTGCCAAAGTAATTGCATCCATTTAAACTTCGACTAGCAGTGTTTGAATGTTCTCATTGTTCCAGGTCCTTGCTAGCTCTTGGTATTTTCAGTCTAGCCGTCCATTGTGGATGCAGTATTTTCATTCTGGCCACCATCTAGTAGACGAATTGATGATTATCTTGATGCATCTAATGGTAATGAGGAGGAGGCAAAGGACGAACATTTCTGCACAGAAAAGAGGAGATAAATGACACTGAAGGAAGTTCTTGGGAAGCGGTTGCTCGTGGATGTATAAACTCAGAAGAAACCCAAGTGATGAATTTCAGAAAAAGAGGGATAAGACATATGCTCGAAGAAGTCAGACTGGTATTTCTGACTGTCAGAGCTTTGATCCTTGGTTATCAGTAATTCTCTAGTCCCAACACCCATGGCTCGTCACAGAGAGAAGAAAGACCTGCTGGCCAGTTTCCTCAGGGCCCCATTCATGTCCCTGTTCCTCAGGCTGTAGATGAAGGGGTTCAGCATGGGGGTGACCACAGTGTACATCACTGAGGCAGTTGCCTTCCTTGCGGAGGAGGGGGAAGAGGCAGAACTGAGATACACTCCTAACCCTGTCCCGTAGAATAAGGAAATGACTGTTAGGTGAGACCCACAGGTGGAAAAAGCTCTGGACTTACCCTCCACTGAGGACATTTTCAGTATGGAGGAAATAATCTTAGAGTAAGAGAAAAGGATCCCAGTCAGTGGAATAATACCTAGCAGACCACTCACAGAATACAGTGCAATGTAGTTGCTGAGAGCATCAGAACAGGCAGACTTGAGCACCTCAGCCAATTCACAGAAGAAGTGCGGGATTTCCGTTTGCATGCAGAACGAGAGATGCAATACCATGAAACTGTGGAGGAGAGACACTAGGACACTGAGAGACCAGGAGATGAGAGCCAGCAGACCACAGAGCTGGGGGTTCATTATGACCGTATAGTGCAGGGGGTGGCAGATGGCCACAAACCGGTCATAGGCCATCGCCATCAAGAGTAAGCTGTCCAGACACACAAAAACTAAGAAAAAATACATCTGGATGATGCAGCCTGCATAGCTGATGGCTTTGTTCTCTGTCTGGATGTTCACCAGCATTTTTGGAACTATGGTGGAATTGAAACAAATATCAGAAAAAGACAAGTTGGAGAGGAGAAAGTACATGGGGGTGTGGAGGTGAGAGTCAGAGCTGACAGCCAGGATAATTAGAAGGTTCCCAAGCACGGTGACCAGGTACATGGACAGGAACAGCCCGAAGAGGAGGGGCTGCAGTTCTGGGTCATCTGAGAGTCCCAAGAGGAGGAATTCTGAGACACGTGTTTGGTTTCCTGCGTCCGTGTAGCTGATCATTCTCCTAGGTAACTGACAAAGCAGTGCTAATGAAAGCAAACAATCAGGAGTTCCCAAATACAAAAATATTTTTATCCTCCCAATGACCCTCCGCCCAACATAAACAGAGGAACCCACATTTTTGAGTAACAATCTGAAATTCATTCACCTAGAGGATTACAAACACCATTATCTTGTACAGGTATCATTTGAGGGAAAATCTATTCCTCTGTCCTGACCTTTATCACATATTAGTCATTGCCTTCAAGATCTGAATCAATATACCATCAACCTTTGTGGTGTCCAGCTCAGCTTCACCTCATTTCAGATGTAGCACATCAATGATTTGAACATTCTTCCTTCTTCATACCAAGCAGTGAAACGGTAGTCAGATGACCATTAAAGTTATAAATAAGACAAGAATATCTGCTGTCATCAGCATCATCTGATTCAGAGTCTAGAGTCCTTTCAGGAGCCGCAAACCTAAAATCTTTAGGAATTTTTAACTAGGCTCTCCTCTCTTAGTTCCTACTTAGGTCCATGTTCCTGGAATTACTTGACTGCTGGGAAAAGCCTTTTACATGTGCATGTATACACACCCCTCTTTCTAAAAGCACTTACTAAGCCCAGATGGATCAACCAGATTGTAGCAGGGAAGAAGATCTTGGAAGGATGGATGGTGGGAGGTCTCCAGAGATAGCTCTTGTTATGGAATCCAAATAGACCTTGGGTCAGCAAGACAGTATTATTCTTTGTGGCCGGGGGTCAGTGAGCTGGGAGCAAAGGGACAGGTAAGGAGCATTTATCCTTTTAGAGACATCCACGGTTGAATCCCCAGAGCTCTTAATTAAATATATGCTCCTATTGTTACTCTATTTCTAAACACCTTTGCCCCTTGGGATAGAGATCCACAGTAAAGTGGAAACTGTGCTTGGCAATTGTATTCCCACGTGGGAGATTTGGGGGCAGTCACGCTTTCCTTCACATTGGGAGCTCTCCTTTCCTAAGATAATGATGTCACGGTTCAGGATTGTCTCTGAAAAATATCCCATTAGACTCTGGACTAATGTTCTTTGCCAGTCAGAATACTTAAATAGCAATTGTATACGGCCTGCTAAGTCTCTAACAGTACCCTAAATCAAACATTTGCCCTATTAGATGTGACTATAACACTGTGAATAAAACTTATTAACAAAACTATCAGTTAATACCATGCTGTTTATTATTATTCATTCATTTAATGATAACCCTAACAGAAGGGTTATTATGTCTATTTTAGGTGTGAATAACAGTAGAGAAAATGACTAATTTACTGCAGTCATATGCTGTAAATGGCAGAGTTGGGATTGGAGCAGATGCCTGACTTTAGAATAGATAGAAAATTGCTTTATAGTCCTTTGCATCCTTTTTTTATAAGTTTAACCTATAAAGCATTTTCACTTACTTACTTGTAGTGATAATGTGTTCTAATTTTATTTTCTAAGTTTCAAAATTGGAAATGCATGTTTTCTTTTAAAATCACATCAAAAAATAAAATACTTAGGAATAAACCTAACCAAGGAGGTGCAAGACTTATATGGCACCCAGTGAAGCCTGATTCCTGGATCTGTTTTCAAGAAAGGACTTGTCATTCAGTTTCACGGAATCCAGTTATATGACAGCCTCCAGCTGTTACCACTTTTAGGATCTGCTTGAGCTTTTAAGACCATGCCCTTCCTGGGGTAATAGGGCCTGGTCTTTTCTTGCCAATGTGGGAGCCCTCCAGAGATCAACCTGTGCACCAGAATACCTCACTGACTGCCAAGTTTTCTCAGATCTGCATAACCATCTGTTATGGACTTCATCCCTTTTGACATCCTAAGGAGATAGTATTCCAGTTTTCCTGGTACCCCTTGGTACCCTAGTGCTTATCCTAGGGATCCTGTCCAAGCTGTAACCATTTGGGATTCTTTGGGAGATAAAAGAACTTTTAGTATCCTTTTGGATGAAGGCAATTAACTGGGAAAAAAAGGCTACAAATTCTAATTCTCATGTTGTGTGAAGAGCTGTGGGGATTTGAGGGATTTGGGGGATGGTCTAGAGAAAAGATGCGACTTTGAGGGATCATCATACACGCTTTTACTGGGTGATACCTTGACAAGTTTGCATTTGAGGGAAGTTCTTCCTAGCAGGAGTCTGTCTAATGGCTACAGGAGGGGTCTCCTGGAGAAGACGGGTTCAAAGAGGGGGTTTCTGTGTGTAGGTGCTATTGTTCAACATCACAAGGTGGCCATTGGGTTAGAGAGCTCTGGAAGGGAAGGGCTGTAGAAAACTTCAAGACCCTTATCTTATCAATAGGTAATAGCTGTCCAGTGAGGTTTTTCAGGGTTTGCAAAGCAGGCAGGTCTAAGTGGCTTAAAATGTGATTGTTTGGACTGTTTTTTAAAGATATTTCTTTTCTTGGTTTTGTTTGTTTTTAATAGAGGTACTGGGGATTGAACCTAGGACCTTGTGCATGCTAAGCATGTACTCTACCACTGAGCTATATGTGCCACCCACTCCCCACCCCGGACTATTTTTAAAAACTGAATGTTTGAAAATTTAAGTTTGGTACCGGCAGGCTTTTGCACTGAAGATTCGTAACCTACAATGAAGCTGTAAGCACCCTAGAGGCCAATACACAGGGGCCATCTTTGGCTCATTCATGTAACAAGATCAAAACATTTGTGGGGAAGTGAAAGTGATGTTCCCTCTCTTTATTTCATGCACATTTCAGTGTCTTGGAGGCTAGGGCTCTTTGTAGGAGCACTGAGAAATCCAGGAAAATGTTATTTCCCCACAGTGGGGTACGTAAGGGCTGTCCGATGGAACTTTATGTGATAATGAGAATGTTTTATATCTGCACTGTTCAATATGGTACTAGGCACATGGGTCAGTGAACACTTGAAATGTGCTTAATAGTCACATTAGTGACTACCATGTTGGACCGCACAGAGATGGACTCCGAGGCAGCTGCAGAGATGGTGGGCAGCTGATTAGGAAGATCAGGGCCCTGGCATGAACCCAGAACGAGGGAGAGAGGATAAGCCCCCCCCTCACATGAACTGAACCAGCATTCCTAAGGGGTCTGGTTAGTGTGGTATCAGTGAGACCTCTTAAGGCTCTCAAGTGGACAGTGTTAGTCCTATTTTAAGTTACAGAGGACTCCAGGGCTGCTGTAGAAGGGATTGCAACTGTGAAGGGGCTCACCTCCTACTGAAAGAGTATTTCTAGCATGATAATGAATTAATTCTCCTCTTTTAGAATGTGGGCCATGGAGAGGTGAACATATGTGTGTCTTTGTGCATATATGCATACGTGTGTAAGTAGTAACATGAATCTGAATTAAGTTCTTAAGAAAGAATGATCACAAAGGAATGATAAAAGATCTCAGAATTTCTCTTAGCGCAGTAGTAAAAATCATCATACTAGATAAACCCTCAAATTTGATTTTCCAACCTTGGAAGTTAAACAAGTTGTGTTGCTATCACAGTGACAGTGTATGTAACAGAACTAAAGCGTTACTGATTTAATGAGACAAAATCTTATTTCTCTTTCATGAGAAGCAGCCACTTGGTCAGCTGTCTAGGGGAGTCCTCCATGTATTAGTCAGACTTCTAGACTATTTTGATTTTATAGTATCTTCATCCCATAGTAGTCATATCAAGGGAGGAGTGAAAATGGAGAATAATGTACCAGCTCGTAAACTATTTAGCTAAGAAGTGATACATCATTTCCGCTCATATTTTATTAGCTAGATCAAAAACATATTGCCACCTTTAATTTTAAGGAGGGAAAACAATGCAGTTCTCTTGGGTATACAGTAGGAAAGGTTGACCAGAATATTGTCAATCAGCAGTAAAATCCACGCTAGACATGCACGCAGTGTCAAATCCATGTGGCAAACTGTGAAGCCTATTAGGGAAGAATATGTGCTCAGGGTCAGAGTTCTGGTTTTGAATGCGTTTTGTCACGTGGTCCCTCTGTAACTTTGGGGCAGTATTTGTTGTGTGTATTTTGTCTTGTTAGCTCTTAGAGTCTCAATTTTCCCATCTCTAAAATGGACACAGGAATCATTCCTATTGGGGAGATTACATAAGATAACAGAGAGCAGTTAGCATAGACTTAAGATATAATAAGCAAACAGCTCTATTTTCATACATCTTTTAATCATACTTTATCCAGTAAAAAAAAAGCATTGTTGGTGATACACACGTAAACAACACAGATCCACAATCAAACACGTAGAAATAAATTAAGGTGAACAATCAATAGTTTAAGCATGCTACGCCAATATTTGAGATAACAAAATAGTAAATTTCAAATGGAAGTTCAGAACTCACCAGTATGGAAGTAAGAAAGAAGACCAAAGACATCCTTTCTGGACAGCAGATAGGGCAGAAAGGTCATCACAGAAATTACTAGGTTAGCCATTTAAATGTGTGCTAAAAACTAGGAGAGAGCCAAATGACAGGTCTTCCAGAATTGGGTGAGGAAAAACAAGATGGTTTGAGAAATGCAAGAGTAAGGAATTCAGAATAAAGTATTTTTTTCCACTAGTAGCCAAAAAATTCATCATGGAGCCAGTGGGTCTATCGCAGGCAGGAGGTTGCTTGGCTGAAGAGTCTTCTAAGGGCCCCCTTCACATCCGTGTTCCTTAGACTGTAGACGAAGGGATTCAGCATGGGGGTGACAACGGTGTACATCACTGAGGCCACTGAGACTTTCTGGGAGGAGTGAGTGACTGCAGAAGTGAAGTAGACCCCCACACTTGTCCCATAAAATAAAGAAACAACTGAGAGGTGAGACCCGCAGGTGGAAAATGCTTTCTGCTTTCCCCCGGATGAGGTCATCTTCCTTATGGATAAAGCAATTCGTGAATAGGAGAAAAGGATCCCAGTGAAGGGGGAAACGCCCAGCACCCCAGTCATGACATAGATCAGTGTGCTGTTCAGGAAGGTGTCAGAGCAGGCCAGCCGGAGAATCTGTGTCAGCTCGCAGAAGAAATGTGGAATTTCTAGATCCCGACAGAGGGTCAGATGCATCATCAGAGAGATATGAAGGAGGGAGGTCGTGACACCAATGAACCAGGTGATAAAAACCAGCAGGGCACAGAGACGCAGGTTCATGATGACTGTGTAGTGCAGGGGGTGACAGATGGCCACAAACCGATCATATGCCATTGCTGTCAGGAGCAGAGTGTCCAGAATAGGAAAGAACATGGTGAAATATACCTGGGTGAGGCAGTGCATGTAGGAGATGGCTTTGTTCTCTGTGTGGATGCTCAGCAGCACCCTGGGGACTGTGGTGGTGCTGAAACAGATGTCCACCAAGGACAAGTTGGAGAGGAAGAAGTACATGGGGGTGTGGAGGTGGGAGTCAGAGATGATGACCAGAATGATCAGCAGGTTCCCAAGCACAGTGACCAGGTACATCGATAGGAAGAGCCAAAATATGAGGGGCTTCAGTTCTGGGTTTTCAGAGAAACCAAGGAGGATGAACTCTAAAATGCCTGTTCTGTTTTCTGCTTCCATGTAGCTGATATATCTATGAAGGAAGATACCAGAACAGGAATTAGCAGCAGATGGGCATCTTCCAAATACTGGGAGTGTCGGCCATGCCTTTCACTATAGTTGTTTCTGAAGTCAGTCTGTCTAAGAGTTGGCTCTCCTTTCACTCAAAAATAGAATCCCAAGAAATAGAGTGGCTTATCCCAGCCTCTCACCTTAGGTATCCATTTCATGACTGCAAAACCAAAATGGAATCCTACAGAATGGAGTCTAGAATTCCCGACCGCTTATCTTAAGCATCCGCTTTATAACAACCCTGTCAGATGGTTAAGGTGCTTCACAACAGGATAAATCGACATGATAGACATAATGTTGATTCCATGGGACTGAAATCCTGCTCCTTTGGGTTCCTGCCAAAGGTGCAGGACTTCCATCTAAAGACTAGGGAGCAGCAGACAAACCCAAATTGAAGGACATTCTACACGATTTCTGTCCTGTACCTGTCAAAAGTGTCAGTGCCATCAAATTCAAAGAAAGTCTAGGAATTGTTCTAGATTAAAGGAGGCTAAAGGGACATGTCCACCAAATTCAATACGTGATCTTTGATGCTCTTTTGCCATAGATGGAATGATTAGGTTAATTGTCAAAATAAGCATCAGTTCTATAAAACTGGTAATGGTATATCAATGTGAATTTCATGATTTTGATACTGAAGATTTAGAAGTAAAGAGATCCCATATACACAGTGCACCTTACTCTCAAGTAGTTCTGAAAATTTTCACACACACATACACACACATACATGCACGCATGCACACACAAAGACAAGGAAGAGATGAAAATGGATAAATAATAAAGTAAAGATGATAAAATGTTAACACTTGGGGGATCCAGTAAAAGACGTACTTAGAAACTATTTATACTGTTCTTTCAACTTTTTTGTAAATCTGAGATGAGGGTAAAATTAAAAGTTAAAAAGAACTTCTGTACAATGCCCAGTAGTACAGGGTAGAGAAAAAGAAGAAAATCCATCCAGAGGTGTAGTCAGAAGAGTCTGGCTTCACAGAACACTGCAGCTGAGGTGACCACTCACAGATGTGATGACCACTCACAGATGTGGAGCCCACAGGCCCTCGGCTGGAACCTCAGCCCGAGGAATTTAGTCTCTAGTGGTCCTGGATGAACGACACCCCAGGTCCCAGGCAGAAGCAGACACATCTGCTCTGAAAGGTGCTTTGATCTGAGGATCTTTGCCTCAGTACTCACAAGGGAAGTTTGTCTGCATTTCTTTCTTTTAACACCCTTTCCAGGTTTGTCCGTACACACTATTCTTCCTAAACTCCCAGTTGTATTAAGGACCACACTAGTCTTTCACTCTCAAAGCTACAACACTTTTGCCTTCTTAGGAGCCCTAAAAGTGCTAGGATTCGTCCCCCAGCCCTGCCTATGCAAGTACTACCCTTCCTGCTGGCATCCTCTATGCCTTAGGTCTCCTGTGATAATTCCTGTCTTTATCTCTCAGGTGAAACATCACTTCCTCAAAGAAGCCTTCCTTCCCACCCTCCCTGCCCACCCAGTCAGTGCAGTCTCCCTAGTCCATGCTTTTATAGCCCTTCTCCCCTGTATTTTTCTTCACTGCACAAATCATAGTTATATTTTTGCATTTACTCATGGAATTAACTGACCTATCCCCCTAACCACTGAATCACAAACCATACAAGATTAGATCACATTATAAAATTTACTTAGCTTTATATCCCAAAGATGCTTTGTTCTCAAAAGAGCACAGAAAGTTAAATGAAGGTTAAAACCAAAAATGATCATATATAACAGAAACTAGAAATCTACAAATTAATCTCACATTGACTGTAGACACAACAGCTTGAAAAGGGAGTGATACGAAGTTATCTGTTTGATAAAATAACATGCTCGATTATGAATTTAGTGACCATCTGAATAGTGCAAAAAAAATTAGTTAGAAAGTCAGGTAACAGTATTCACATCAGTAGATCAATGCAGAAAACAGTATTTTCAACATAAACTAAAATACATTTAATAGAATTGAGCAGTCATTGACGGAAAGGGAACAGTAAAATTTCCACATAGAACAGAAGGATACTGTCGAAAGGTGATACAGAGTAGCTGTTAAAACAAGATTCATCATTAAAGACTTAAAAACCAGCAAACAAACAAAAAAAACAGAAAAGGGAAATTATGCCTGCTGTTATAACTGTTTAACATTGTTTCTAATAATTCAAAAGAAACACCGTAAGACAAGCAATGTAAATGAGATGTAATAGTGGGAAATCAAAAACAGAATAGGTCACTATCAGCTGTGGATATGATTTCCTGCATCAAACACTTAAGAAGGGCAACTTAAATATAATTAGAAGTAGTCACTGTCATCAACTTTCTTATTTATGCAAACAATCATTAGGAAGGATAATCGAAAAAACGATCTGTTCACAATTGCAATAACATAGGTACACCTGGCACAGAGTGGGCATTCAGTGCCTATATGTGGAATCAAAGAGTGTGTACAACCTAGTAGAAACTAAGTGGTGATGGGCCAGGGAGGAGAAGCAGATGCTTTGCTGGAGCAGAGATTCCAGTTACAGGTTGCATGAGAATCACTTAGAGGGCTTGTTCAGACTGTTGGGTCCCCTCCCCTGAGTTCCTGACAGCGTTATTGGGTGGGGCCGGAGAATCTGCATTTTCTGACAGGCTCCTGGGGATCCTGATGCTGCTGCCCCAGGAACCCCACTTCGAGAACTACTATAGTAGAAAAGAACAAGGAAGGTATTAGCAGGTGGATAGGACACTCTTAAGATTATGCTCCAGAGTGCCAATTTCTACTGATGCTGAGAAAGCCACCAGTTTCCAGAATGAGGGTACTGGAGGTGACAGAAAACACCTGTAATGGAATCTAAAAAGACATAGATAGCCAGGGATGTAAATTACAGAAATTTTTTAAAAATGTCATGCGTCATTATCAATCGTGTTACCACCTTCAGGGAGCCACCACCTTTTCAACTCTCCTTTTTATACGTAATACTCACTAGGACAGTGTGACCCACTTGACTGGCATTACTTAAAGAAATATTTGTGCAGCCTCTTTCTCCTCTGACTGTTGGTTGCTGAAGACAGATTCTCCCAAGGAATCGTGGATATGGAACCCGTCACCCACTCATGTCTGTGAGAGGCACAGGTGTGGTCTCTTCCTGGTCAGGCTTCACTGAACTACAGGTGAGGAGGCTAGGGAAGTATTTACGGTTTCTCAAGCCCCACGGGGATGATTTCGCTCGTCATTAAATCAGTTCATCTGATGCTTGACTTGAAGTCATTCAGCTCTGCAGAGCAAGGGGCAGAACAGAACCATAAATGCTAATTCTGTCTCCAGGAAGGTCGCTTTGGAGCCAGATGAGTCTCTCTCCCACCAAGGCCGTCTTCCTTCTTGGAGGAGCTTTCATCACTATTGGTTTGGCTTTGAGCAAAGAGCTTTCCCCTCAGGACTGGGTCTCTGATGCAAAGACCCATCTCCCTGTAGCCACAGTACTTAGGATCTCAAAGTAACACGGAAGAAAACAGAGACACATCTATCTTCGGTGAATCCCTTGTGACTGGATAGTGACTGAGTAGGCTCCATGGTGTTGAATATTTGTATGATTGTGAGTCCTGTTTGAAGAGAGGGGGCATCAGCTATGCTAAAGGACACTACAGGGTCAAGTAATGAAGGCTGAACAATAGCCCTTGGATTTAGTGACATGGAAAACACTAGAAAGCAAATTTTGGTAGAGTGATAGGGAGGGGTCTGTTTGCAGTGGGCTTGGGAGTGACATGTCAGTGAGGAAATTGACCTCATAAGTATAAAACATTCTGCCAAGAACTTTGATTATGAAGAGAAAGAGAGAGTAGTCCCATAAGGTGTGTTTTTTCATTTTGGATGTGAGAAAATATTTAAATGGTGAAGGAAATGCTCCTGTTAATTGGAGGAAATGAAATTGGTACTGTATCATTTACCATAAAAACTGGAGTTCTGTGATATGTTTCTAAACTAATGACTCATTTATTTTATAAATTATTCTTTTTCTAAATTGAAGTATAGTTGATTTACAATGTTGTGTTTATTTCTGATGTACAGCATAGTGATAGTTATACATGTAAGTATTCTTTTTTATGTTCTTTTTTCTTAATTCTAAGTAATCTGTCATCTTTAGTTGAGTACATTAGATCTAAAGCAATAAAATCAAAGAAATATGTGTTATTAACAGAGGTTAGTAAGTAAAAATAATTTCCTGTCACTAAGTATGACATCATTAAATGAAAAGTTTTCTAACACACATGTATCACTTGACAAACATATGTAATCTCAATGGTATAGTCCAACAGCCTTTGGAACTATAAATACAAGACTTAAAAAATTATATAGGGAATGTCTTCATCCCTTTTAGTAAATAGTCTTAGCAGCAAATTCATTATGGCAAGATTCAAAAATGTCTATGCCAATTTGCAGATACTAATTAATATATATAATAGTAGGTAAACAACAAGTTCATACTGTATTCAATATCTTGTAATTTATGGTGAAAAGAATGTGAAAATGAATATACGCATGTTCATGTATGACTGAAACATTATGCTGTACACCCAAAATTGAGATAACATTGTAAACTGACTATAATTCAGTAAATATATATACTGAAAAAGTCTATGCCAAATATTCATATTTTTAGGCTATGAATTGAACTCATTTCTTAATAAATTTGAAAAATCTTTTGAGACATCGAACGTACATCTAAACATTAATTGGACAGGGTTTCTTATACTGCAGGATTCAGTTAAGAAAGGTGATTGCACTTTTTCAAATTTTGAATTATTTTCTGATATTATATGAAAGCTCTTTATTGTTCAGTGGCTTAACTGAAGATATTTCACATCTTAAACTCCTTTTTAGGTTTTGTTAATGATTTTCAAACAAAATTTTCATAACTAAAAAAAATTATCATCAATCAAAAAAATTTTTCTTTATTTTGCGTGCAAGA